ACGATAGCTGCACTCCAGAATTCAGCATTTTCGGTGTCTATCGATGGCAGCAACGACAGCGATTGGAAGCTTTACCCCATCGTTGTCACATATTTCTAATGAAATGAAAACTCATCTTTTGCGTCTTCCATTGTTAAATGGAAACGCTACGGGGGAAAATATTGCCTCCGTGGTAATTAATGAGTTGAAACAACTTAACATCCCAATATCAAACTGCATTTCATTTGGTGCCATAATGATGCTTTAGATGAACTACAGAACCAATTTTCTGCTGACAGTTTGAAGACTTTGCCAGACTTGATGTCCTCGTTGGTGCCTTGAAAAGAATAAAAGAGCTGATGGAACACCAAAATATGATAGACTAGCAAGAGTTTTATGTGCTATTCTCGTAATTCCACACAGTAATGCTGAGTGCGAGAGAGTCTTCAGTGCTGTGAAGAAAAACAAAACTATGTTTCGTTCATCAATTTCACCAAAAACTCTAGAAAACATTTTAATTGCTAAATGTTATGAGGAAACTAATTGTTATGACAGGAAATTTTCCAAAGAATTTTTGGCTAAAGCCAAAAAAATGCACTCTTAAATTCATTGCAATAATTTTTTTGTGTAACATTAAGTTCTTGTTTTATGTTTCCTAATAAATTTTTTAGTTACTACTTAATTGAGATTTACTAATGTAAGTACAATTTTCTTTTTTCTATTTGTATAAATTGTTATTTTTTTAATATCAAAGCATGATATTAATTCTTCATGTTCTTCTGAATTTTGGAGAAATCTTCTGAATTTTTATCTTTAGAGGTTGGCAGGTATGCTGGTGAATAAGGAGGCCATGCCATGCCACTTCCTGTATGCATGTCGTAATCCAAGGCAATTACCCGTTCACTGAAATGTTCGTTCAAGAAATCAAATACTGCAGACGTCCGATGTGGACGAGCACCATCTTGCATGAACCAGGAGGCATTAGAACGGTTCTCCAAAGCAGTATTAATCCCCACAAATTCTTCCAGAATCCCAAGATATTGTACAGCATTTATCGGTTGCTCTCGAAACAATGGCCCTATTATTCCTTTGTAGCAAACCGCTGCCCATGCCATTATTTTTGGTGAATGTGGGGATGAAGGTTCAGCAATATGAGGATTTTCGCTTTCCCAAATTCGCGAGTTCTACTTGTTGACATAGCCATCGAGGTGAAAATACGCTTCATCTGAGAACCATATGTTGCCAACATCGAGTTCACCGTCATCCACAAGTTGCAGCATGGCGTTTGCGAAATTATAGCGTGCATTAATGGCATTTGGACTGAGGGGTTGGTGAGTCTGGATTTTGTACGGGAACATGTGAAAGCTGTCGTGCATGAGACGGTGAGCGTACGGAAGTCCGGGCCGCTGTTGGATAACCTGCTGTAAGTCTTCAGCATTCGATTCTGTAACTGCAAGGCGTAGCCGGCAGTTGACATTTCCAATACGGTCCTCATTCACACTCCCCGTTCCCTCGAATTTTTGAAATAGAGTCCTTATCGCATTGTCTGACGGTCCTGCTCTCACATGAAATTTTCTTTGGAAACTGTGCCTCGTTTGAACAAAACTGTGTTCCAGGCGGTGGAACTCTAACACAATAAATACCCGCTGGAAAAAACCATTTTGGTAGAGCGGACTTGCAATTTCAACAGCACACGCTATCAGCTTGACGACGAACTACGGAATGGGGAGCTGAAATACTTCGTTTTAACTATACCTGTTACAGATCGCCTGCAGCGCCACCTGTGGGTGAAAATGTTAACTAAATTCGAAATTTGGTGGGATAAAATTCCCTGATTTCCTAAGCATAAGACTGCAAACGATACATATCTATCGCATTCCGTCCTTTTTTTTTTTTTTTTTTTATTGATTTACAAAATCCATCAGTCATTTTTGGGACTCCCGATATATTCCCACGTACCGTATTTCTTTTCTTTTTAAATAAAAATTGGTGTCACCCTTCTATCCCAACGACTACCATCAGATATTTATTCTTTTATTCGTCTGTAATGAAGTTTTAAAGAAATCTCGCCATTCTGAATGAACAACCAAATTTATTAGTCAAAACTTACAGAATAACTGAAAAAAACATTTTTAAGCGCGCGCAACACCTGCATGGATATTCTTACGCGCGATTTCTTTATATTTCTTAGTGGAATTATGTTGGTAGTGTAGCAATGCAAATACGTTACAATACTGAACGTCTTCAAGGTATGTGACTTCCATTAAAATTTCAAGGAAATAGTGTTTACTAACCATTATAAATTTGTAATAATAATGGTTAAATTAAATAATAGATAGATATAAAAAATGCATAAGAAAAAATTGTAAAGTGAGTTTAAATTAATTAATTATGGCAAAGCAAACACAAAATATTTGGATGAGAGATGCCTTTGTGGAAAATATGAATTCAAATAAATTTAAAAAGAAATTTTATAAGAGTTGGAATATCAAACAAATGTTCATTAGGAAATAAATGTGAAATAAGGTTAAGTAAATTGATTATTAACTGTTACAGTAACCTACAGTATTAACATCAACACGTCAACAAAGAACAATGTCTATTTTAAAGAAAGAACAAAGTCTGTGTCCGCATAAGCTTTTAAGTCCCGAGTAAATAAATTCCGCATTTCTGGATTCATCCAAATAACAAATCAGTAATTCTTATTGCAAACAGTACTGAATATTTATGTATACTTTTGGACTATGAATATTTCTAAACATTTATTTTTTGTATATGCTAGAAAGAACACACACACACACAATTCGCAGCAATTGATAATGCACGTCTGAAGTCTACATTCGTCGCCAATCGACGAAGGTTGCCGTGTTGAAAAAACGAGTATTGGGCATGCGTGAAGCGTAAGCCCCGCAGAACGAAGACGCTACTCTCTGAATGGCACGGCAACCTTATGCAATTTCTTCAGAAATGGGCCCAACACCCTTACTGAGGTCCTTTTTTGCCATAAAGAACACAGGCTTCAAGATGCTGGAACAGCCATGGGAAGATCTTTTCTTTTTAGTGAATAATGGCGAACTGGCATAAAAGTGCCAACATTATTATTGTGATGAACGTCGGAGTGGTGGTACATAACAATTCCACCTTTTTTTGCTGTGAAGTAAGAAATTAAATTCAGCGGGTGTAAATTTGTGACAGACTTACCAGTCACGAAGTTTTTATTTTTTTTGCGAGGGGTGGGGGAGCAGCAGAGTGTCATTACATCTTTTTTTAATTAGTTTTTTTTTCATGAATCCTAAAATTATAATTAAAGTTTCAACCATATTAAAGCCAACGATATCTGGTGAATTAGGTTCGCTTATCTGGTGATTAGGTTCGCCTCTGGAAATTTCCTGAATCCTATATAGCCCCATGAGATCCTGCTTACATGTCTCAAAATTTGTTCCTAGAATAGGCAAACATCTGTAAATATATATATATATCTTAATATAATTATATGAATATTTACATCATATCATATGAATTTATAAATATAATACGTTTTTATAAATGTATTACACACACACACATATATGTATATATGTTATATGAATATTTTTGTAATTTATATTAATATTTGGGTTTCTTTGCTTGTATTTTGGTTTTCACATATTTTTTATTATTGCATATTTTTTTAATTATTTATTTAATGAAGTCTTAAACAACTGTGTGTATTTAATATCACTTTTTTTATTAAATCATTGATAGGTAGCTACTTTTTGTATTTGTGTGTGCTTAATGCAGGTACTGATCTGTAAATTTCTCAGTTTTGAAATGAATTTTAAGTTGACGCGGAAATAATAAAATAACTTAAGAACAGGAGATTTAAATTAAAGATTCCTATCACGGCCTAGCGTCATCTGGAGTTATTTCGTTAGCTTGACAATATTCTGAAATTTCCAGAAAGCATCTTTTCGAGAATCATGGAATAATTCTTTAGAATGTTCCGGTATTGCCTTCTCTTCACGCAAGGGCAAAAATAGAAAGCTGCATTATAGGCTTAGTCAGTTCAGAATTCAAACTAAATGGGGGTTAGACTGGTGTACTATTGAGCTTATTGCTGTATGTCTTTATTCTTTGCTTTATGAAATTTTTATAAACTGTGATATTCACTCCGTTTTAAAAGAATTCAGCTTACAATTTACTCCTTCTGTTCTATTAGGCTGTTTCTCCAGTATATAAAAGTTGTTATCGCCTAAAGTAGAAATAAAGTTTATATTTTCCTTCTTTCGTTTGGCTTAATTATTTAAAGAGATCTCGACTAACTCATAACACTGAACCCAATTGATTTTCATATTTGATGTATTATTATCGACTAAAACTAAAATCTAGTGGAACTTGTGCTTAATTTTCTATCTAAATAAGGTTATAGTAATATTATAAGGCATTTCTCCTACCTTCTTAGCATGCCTTCGTGGTGTAGTGGTCAGCACGCTCGATGCGTATTCGAGAGGTCCGTGGTTCGATTCCCGGCGAGAGCGTTGCTCATTTTTCACATCCCACCTGCTTCAAAAATACCTAATGTCTCTAGAATATGTATTAATATGTATTACATCAATAATCCATTAAATTAATTCATCACGACGATTGAAGTGATATATAGAATAAACTCATTTGAATTTACAATCTGATATTTCGTAACCTTTAATTGGAATTTGAAATATTAATAAGAAGATGTATATAGCATGCAGTACGTGTATTAATACTTGAATATTTTATTAATGGAGATATACACATAATTGGGAACTTTTACATAGCCACTTTTAATACGTCTGAAAACTTTAATAGGCATAGAAACAACTATTCGATAAAAATGAATATTACATTTCAATCAGCAATAATATTAATGTCAGATACTCAGAAGCTATTGACTGAGCACTCTAAATGATAAGCAACATTAGTATTGTTGCTAATTAATTACAAATGTGAAGCAATTCTCTTTGAATGCTAAATAATTTTTATTTACATTTTCTCTTTTATTATAGGTCTTTGGTAGTGCTTTATTGTGCTAAAGAAATATGGATGATATACATTTACTGCGTAGTGAAGAAGAGGAAGCCCTCTTTGATGAAATGGATAACGAGAGTGAAATCTTTAGACTTATAGAGAACACTGTAATATGGACATTAGAAAAAGTCTGTCATCACAACTGGTTGCCTATGTCAGTTTATAGAAGACCAGGAGACCCGATTTTCAGTGAAACTATTGGAGCTGCCATAGTGCAAGTAGCAGCACAAATACCTTTCTCGAGAATAGGTGAAAGCTTTCTCGGTAGCTTTTACAATTCTAAAGAAAGACCTACTATTGCTGTGTGGAACTACATCGAGTCATCTGCACGTGCCTGGTTTGCGGTACAAGGTTTTAACTGGATTTCTTTACTAATGTATTTGGGCGGTATATGCCACTTGGTTATGTTTCTGGCTGCAAAAAGAAGTTTTTTAAATATAGATGACATAGTTCTGTCTGTTACAGCATTCCTTGAGGATCATTTTGCTTTTGATTTTGAAGAGTTAGGTGGATGGAAAGCATTCGAGAAAGAGTGCAACATTTGGCTGTCCAGATTTAGTAGTGCTGTGTTTAAAAAAAGGATGAGAACAAGGCCTAAACCCAGGTCTATTTTTTATTTGCCTAGTGAGACCAGCAGCTTTGATGAAGGTAGACTGGAAAGTCACTTATCAGGTGGAGATATGGCTCGAATTCTCAGTGACATGAATGAAGAATTAAACAACTTTCAAGTTTGAAAGCCATTGTATGATGTCTCTTTCGGCCATCTGTAGCAAAAGGCCGCCTTAAGGACGTTTAATAAAGCTGTAATCTCATAACCGTGACTAATAAAATTAGGTGTTAATTTCATTTGTTCAGTTATTTCGCTTATTATTAATCTTAAATTTCAGGAAATTTAAGACATACCTATTTTATGCATGATTCTTACAATTTATATATACTCGTACATTTATGCATTTAATTTTGAAATATACAGTGGAAGGTAACATTTCATCCTTACTGCAGCTTCAAAGTTATCACAGTTAATGCAAACAAGAAAATAACTTTTAAAAAAATGACTTAAAAAAAAATCTGAAAGCTTTGATATTTTAAATTAGGACCAAAGGTGCGCTTTTTCGTGTTTTGTGTGTTACCTTATTAAATATTATGTTCTTCACAATTAGTTCAATTTAACAGCAATATCGCAAAATAATTTTAAAATGAGCATATTTTTTTTTTTTTTTCGATAAACAGTCTCGCATGATAGAGATAATTTTTTTTTCCGTCATTTCGTACAGTGTTTCCATTGCTCGCTTTGAAATCGTTGAGTCCTTAAATCACAAATTCGTTAAAGTGTTACAAAATGTGAGAGCGATAATAAGACAAATTCCAAATTAGGGCTCCCAAATGCCCATATGAACCGAAAGCTCGTCCAAGAGACGAATCGGACGATAAAAATTTCTAAGTTATAGGTCCTACCACTCGTGCGAAATCGTCGAGAAACAAGATCAGTTCTTCATACTGAACGTCTTCAAGGTATGTGACTTCTATTTAAATCTCAAGGAAATACTGTTTACTAAGCATTATAAATTTCCAATGATTCTGTAGAGAAAATTTTCATCTTTTATTTAATATAAGATTCTCCCTCTAAAATTAAGATTAAGAAAAGTAATAAGAGAATTTATAATTAATTTACAGTAAAATTTTAATTTTGATATCATTAGAACTTTGTTGATATACGAATTTCGCCTGTAACGTTATGCATATGAACTTTTATTTTAAAAATTTAGTGGTAAGGATTATGTTAATTTTATTAACAGTTAAATTTTGAGTTAAACTTCCTTTTCTATCGATTCTTAATTTCAACTTACCACTTCCGCTCAGAACGTAGTTTTAGAATCACGTCTGAATGCTTATGAGTAAGAGCGATAATTAATCGCGAAGTTCTTCTGTCTTAGTGAGAGGGGTACCAGATATTCTGGCTGCACGGGTCTGCCTCTTTAGGCTACTATCTGGTAAGCTGTTATTACGCTCGGCTGTACTTTAGGCCCTTGATAGCTAGTCTCTTAAGTTCAAGCCCAAGTGCCGGCTTTATTGTACAACTCCAAGACGGAGTTCTGTTAAATCTTATTTGAATAATAAAGGGTCTTTTAACCCTTCCCAAGTTTACTTATTGTCTCACGAACTCAAGCGATTATTCGCTTACTAGTTCTAAAGACTCTTCACTTTTAACTGTAACTTAGAATTACGCAGTGGAGAATCCTACATAGTAATCCGTTTTATATAAAATGTAAAAAATATTTATAATAAAGAAAAATGCAAATTTTCTCTCTCTTTTGATATAAATTTTATTTAAAATATTTAAAAAAAACATCTAAAATATAATCACTTTTATAATACTTTTATGTGTATATTTAATGTTTTAATTTCATAAAAAGCCGTTTTTGATAACGCTCATGTCTTATTATAAAATAGAACATGTGAAAAATACGGTAAACTAATTAAATAAATAATCTTAACTAAATGTAATATTATATTAATATACAACATAAATATTTATTAGTAAATATTAAATGCAGCAGAAAAAGGACACTGAACTCGCTGCATACCTAAAATTAATATTAATAAGCTTAAAAATACGTGTTACTATCTGGGTTTAAGTTCACTTTTTACAACAATGATGCGTTTAATATTTTAAACTTTAGCGAGCAACAAATGAAGGAAAAATTCTATAACGTTAAAATTTCATTAAATTGACGCTGCAAGAATAGCAATTAATGCAAAATTTGTAACGTTTTCCCTAATTAAGCTATTTAAACAGGACTATCATCATTGTGCTGTAAATAAAATTCTGAATCCATAGAGTGGTTACACTATAACATTATATTAACAACGAAAGGAAATAATAATAAATGTCTCTAATATAAATACTAACTTGATATTGTATTCGAGAATCGAAATCCAACGCCTTGACCCATCTCAAATCCGAGCTTACAAAAGTAATGACGTTCGTTCTGATATGGAAGATCTTAACAAGAACGCATATAAAACTGAGGAATTCTACGATAAGTGCTTAGAATTTCTTCAAACAAGAAAATGTCGAAGGAGATATCTGTAAAAGACTCATTTCATGGAATTGTAATTCTAGTATTCTCAAAGACACTGCTATCAAATACTAAAGCATATCAAATACTAAAGAAGATGTAATCCGAGGCGAGTTAGCGCCTTGTAGGCTTGGTAATAAACGCCAAACATACCTTGTGAGCTTTCAGTAAAGCGAGGAGAAACAGCGGTTGTATCTTTAGATAAGTTTTTATTTTATGAATAAATTGGAAGGGGGGATTGTGTGGAATATATTTTAAATAGCCTACTTATCTTATTAATAGTTTATTTATATTTGGTTAAAGAATGAATTTAATTTGTTAAAAGTACTGTAATTGTTTTACAAGAAAAGTGTTTACATGGAAATGACATAAGTACCTTTTCGTCATTTCTGTTAGAAAGAGTATATTGTGTAAATTTCCACAGCGCATTAATTTATACAAAGGCATCAATGAAACTGTATAACGAAAGGAAACAAGCGTTATGCAATGTCTAAACTAAACCTTTTCTAAACATCGCAGGGAAATATAGAAAACTAAATCTAAACGAAAAATAAAGCAAATGAAAACATTCAATAAACATTTAAGGGCGTCGGATACCTATTCTTTTTACTTAAATTGTTTAAAAATTGTATAACTAAAATTATATTTTATTCAGTATGGGCTATTTCTATATTAACGTTTTTTCATACACAACGGTCATAAACAAATAGCAAAGGCGAAGCAAAAGTCGCCAAGCACATGATTCTTTAACCCTACGTTTCCTGTTTTAACCAAATCGGAGAAAACCGTAGAAGAAACGGTCTGCAGGCTTTGTAAATATGTACGTGCACAGCAGTGGCTAATCGCACCGACGGTGCGAGTACACCACCCATGTTCGCGCATGCTCACAATCAGCCCAGGTACCAGCAAGGCAGGCGGTAGCGAGAGTGAAGGTTATTAACCCAACGCAGCAATAGAAAGGGTTGTTATTAATAGTTCAACAGCAAGAGAATAAATTTCAAGTAATAATTATCAGTTACAAAGACGAGGTCAATCTATATACATGATAATGTTCAGGAAATGATTAGATAAAAGGATTTAATGATGGATCTAATTGCAAAGGAAGTGTAATTAGTTTAAAAAATCTTTAATGTATTGACAAAAAAGCTACAGAAATTACTTAAATTCTTTTATTTATTTAACAGAGGAATTTTTATGAAAACTTAGACTTTAGTCTTGCAGCATAGGACTGTCAGAATTTATTATTCAATAAGAAAACTTACTAAAAATTGTAATATTCTTATATATTCATCACTTTTTCAGTATTCACACAGGTTTATAGGTTCAAATACCATATTTCAAAATCAAAGTTATCTATGAAATAAAACCTTATAAAATCTGATAAATCATTGTGTGTGCAAATTTTTTAAATCTAAATCTCTTACATTAAATTATTTCTGTCTTTAAATTACATCTCATTATTTATTTCAATTTAATATTATGTGTTTGTACTATATTTCAGAGTTTTTTTGAAGTACTTTTTGTGTCCTAAAAATGCCAAGTATTTCCATAAAAAAATTAACAGGCATACAGAATTGTTAATAACCAGTATTATATGATTAATTGTTCGTTTAATAGTTTATTTAATCGCTTTTAACTTATTTCATGTCTAAATTTTCTACACAGAAATCCTCTGTCTAATTTTTATTATCTTTCCTCGGACGCAAATTTTCAAAGAGGAATGTCTTGATTGCGCAAAACACATCTTTGAAGCTAAATGTATTCTAAGAAGAACAAAAAATACAAACAAGGACATCCCCCCCTCCAATCAGTCATTTAAACTATTCCAACCATTCAGGAAAACGATAAACATTGCGTACATAAAAATCTGCTCTTTTTATATATATATTTTAATAAAAGGCCTTCAGTGGAACGGTGTAGCACTAGGGTGCCTGGGTTATCGTGAACCCTACCCCTTGTAGAACGTATAAGTTGTTTCGAATGATATAAAAAAAACAATAACTGCAGTCAAAATAGATCAGATGAAGAAAATACACTTGGGAAAACAAACTAGGCATAAGGAAGTGTGAGTCTCACGGTGCTAATATTTACAGAAAAGACAAATGAATACAATACATACAGATACATAGGCAAATAAGTACAAGAATTAATCTATATTTTAAACTAGGATGAACAAAATAAGATTATTTACAACACCATTCATTGTCAGCACATTTAATGCAATACATTTTCAAGATCGAAAATATAACATTTTATCATAGTATGTCAATGCACGCAGCTCTGGCATTTTTTTAGTAATTTTGTCAATGATTTTAACAACAGGAAGACCCTTGAATATATCAACTAACTCTTTTATGAGTGTGAGTATGTCCATAACAGCAGAGGGACCAGAGTCTTTAGCTCCATCCTTCACACTTTTAACCTTATTCACACCTTTATCGTTATCCGGCTTGTCAGTAGGGACAGAAAAACCACGTTTAACTGCGCTAGCATAGCTAACCCCTGGGGTGACAGGTTCTGCACTAACATTTTCATTCTTAGCATTTGAACTAACAAAATCTGTAACATTTTTAGCATTATCAGAAGTATTTCTATGAGGTTTAGGAAACTCAGGACACCCACGATAATTCGCGGTGTGACCTGGCTGTTTACAGTTGCAGCATAACACATTTTCAATTTTTTTAGCTTTACAATTCTCAGTCCTATGAGGCCCCGCGCATTTAACGCAGCGTGGTTTGAGTTTGCAGTTCTCAGCGGAGTGGTGGAAGTGTTGGCAGTTGTGACACTGCACAACACTTCCGATATTATTATAGGCTGTAACAGATACATAAAAACACATGAAATACGACAAATCATACATTTTATCAACTCCAGGCTTCTTTTCCAGCTGCACTTGAAAACGTGGCATAGGCACCTTAGACTTTAAGCGGTGCATCTGAGACACCTCTCTGAATTTATATCATAAAGCCTCAAGCTCCTCATGGATTTCGTCCTTTGGACAATTGATAGGGAGACCTCTGACACTACTTTAACGGGCTTTTCCGTTTTGCTAACAATTAAGTAGTAATCAATCTTATTTTCATCAATGTAACGCGTAATATCCCTATGATCAGATTCAGAAAACATTTTAAGAAATTCTTCATTTACTTTTGCTACAATTTCAAGCTTGGTATCAGTTTTAAGTTGCTTTACAAAATCCGAGAATTTAATGTTAGGTTTGGTCATTATTTGTTTAACTTTAGAGGGCAGAATTTCAACAACCTCCTGCTCACCCTGCACATCCATGTTTTCGTTGTCATTCAAACCCTTAAACTTATATTAATATTTACATTACATTTTACTAGCTTTGAAGGCCTGGGCGTGTTTTTTGGCTGAATGAAGCCCTCAGCATCCGTAACTTCCTGAAATGAACGCTTATTTCTTTTTGAAAGCCTTTTGGTTAAGGAACAACATTATTTGCAGCATTAACAACATCAACATTATAACCTTAGAAATATTTTCATTAACACTAGAAACATTTTCAACAATACATACATCATCACTAGCAAGGGACATATTAGCATACTTGGGATTAATAGCACCGTAAGTCTCACACATACCGTTGAATAAATGTAGAAGACCCTCGGCAATCTCTCGTCTTTTCTGGTACTTGGATGTAATTTCAAATTGGTCCTGCTCAGTTCTAGCAATAGAATAACCGTTCTCAAAGTCCAATTCCATCGAACATAATATGCAAGCTTTTAGGGTTTCAATCGAATGTAGTACACTCATAAAATTATCCAACGATAACGTGTCCGCATTCAACAGTTCCCTCCAGTTGCTTACTAACACATTGTTTCCAAACCTAATAATATCCTCCGGAAGAGCAGCCAGTCGAATCAGGATCCATCTTAGCGAGCGGTGAGTTGTCTTTCCCCACCATCTCCACGTGGTTCACAATCAGCGAAACTAATAGTACACACTAAGCAGTAGAGACACAGTCCGTCGTAACATCAAATCACTGGTCAGAGAATCACACAAAAATCACCCGAATAGCACATCGGTAAGAGAAGTACTTCGAATTAAACACATCAGAGTATAACACACTAATACAACAAGGTACGAACAGCGTATTAAAAATACACGTCCTACAATCACAGCAGTCAGAACCAGAATCCTATTTTAATAAAAGGAAACGTGTTCCTTCTTTTTATAAGAAAAGGAACCCATTTTCCTTTCTAAACTTTTGAAAGTCGCCAACACTTAAAAATGATAAACTACGTTAAGGTAGTAACCCGCCTTTTTTTTTAAAAAAAAAAAGATTCACTACAACACCTAGGCAGTTCGCGTACGTAGAATCCGTTCTTTTCGATTGGGTTCAAATGACGGATCTGACAACACAATGCGCATGCGTGGTTAATGTTGGTGCGAATAGCATCGGCCTACGTGCACGCCGTTCAGCGTTCTTTTTTTTTTTGGTACCTCGGCGAACTTTTTTGATACTCTTGGCATCCTCGAAATGAACCCACGTGATTTTGTCCGCAAAAATACATTTAGGTTCTTGACCATCCTTAAGAATGCAAGTAGAACATCTGTGAGGACCTCCACATTTACAGCATGTTTTATCGCTGAAACATGTACATTGGGCATGCCCAAACCTCTGGCATTTATAGCACTGGGTTGGCAGTTCACTTTAGGTTTATAACGTTCGACAGAGACTTGGAAACTGCAAATTTTGCTTACAGACAAAATTGCGTTTCCTTCTTTGGTGTTCTCCAGTTCAATAAAATATATAGGCATTTTTTTAATTCCCTTATCAGCTTTCCTAGTGAATTGTTTTAGTTTGCGCGCAGAAAATTTTCTCATTGTCATTATTTGAAAAATATAATTTTCTGAAATAGTGTGCGGTAGGTTTCTGATTATTGCTTTCGTAGTGCGTTCATTTTCCATTTGGTACGAGTAAATTGTGCCCAGTAGGTTTCTGATTATTGCTTTAGTAGTGCGTTCATTTTCCATTTGGTGGGAGTGAAATTTAAGATTGTGCTATGTATTTGTTCACCACTTGATTCCAAAATTATCTTGATAACATAGATTCAGTTAGACAACTTTGAGGCTTGAATTTTATAGTGCGTGAATCTCTTCAAAATTTAACTTAAAAAAAAAACTATATCTCAGATAAGTTACTTTCTAAAATATTTCGAAACCTTTAACTATGTTTGATTTTGGGTAAAGCGTCAGCCTAGGTACCCAGGTGTATCAAACACTGTTCCACAAGAAGGTTTGTAATCCTTCAAAACTGACTCTGGTCCTTTATTCGATTTCAAAATTACGAAATTAAATCCTTCAGTGTTTTTACCTTTTTTCACCGTGGGAGGCAGTTTACCTTTCGTTATTTTGACAATTCGACAATTTTTATTTCTTGCCGAACCCTCTTTTTGATGATAATTATTAAGTCTTTGACTCTTTTGATAAAAACATTAAGCCTATGAGCCTCGTAATTGAAGCTTTCCTTGACCAAGGGCCTTGCCTAAGGCTCCTTATATAGGCCTTATATATTATATTGCCTCTTCATTCAAGAGGATTGTTTTATTTCATGATTTACATTAGTGGCAGTGTATTGTAGAACATAGAACTTGCGGGCAGAACGATTTTGAGGGTGCAAAAGATGATGTTTACAAATTTGTAGCTAACTCGAGTATGTCTGTATTAAGTTAGCGTTATCTTATGTCATTTTACTAAACGTTTAAATAATTTTGATAGAATCCTATATTTGGTACGACATGACTGCATTCAAATTAATTAGTATTTTTAAACCAGATTTATTTAAAGGCAAGGTTGCGATTGTTACAGGTGGAGGTACGGGTATAGGAAAGGCAATCAGCTTTGAACTGTTACATTTAGGTAAGTTTGCATCGTTTCCTTTAAAAATATCAGGTTCGAATGAAATAATAGACGTATTATAAAAATCAAGATTGATTAAATAATTATTTAAATCTATCTAACTGATCATTAGTAAGTAATGACTATCTAACTAATATTAGCTTACTAATTAGTCATTAGTCTGCTTATTATTTACTTTTTCTTGTGTTTCTAAAAACGCAGATTTAGAACCTTTGGGACTCTAGTGTAGAATTGGGTGCTCCTTCGATTAGCCGCAAATTTTGTTAAATTTTGCCGATGAAACCTCATTTCTGGTTACCATGAGAGTTTTAACTTTGTTTTAGATTCTTGACTTTTTTTTAATGAAAATAGATCGATGTGTACATGGACAAAGTTAAGACAGTGCGCATTGCCTAGTTTGTGCAATTCTGATGTTTTTATAAGTGAAAATAGATTGTTGTGTACATGGACAGTCTATGCAATTCTTTGACTTCTTATTTTGGTTTTGTGTAGCAGCCATCTAGAAATTGTGCCTTCCTGGCGCCGATCTTGGCGTGAAAAAAGAATCGCCAAACTACAAGGGGCACCCAATTGTAAACTTTTACCACATTTGGTTTTCTTATGTAGTTCCGTTATAGCTGAAGTGCAGATGTATGTCCCAAAGATTAAGAAATTTAATAACAACAAAGAATTGCATAATGACAATTCAACCAGGCAAGAACTGTCAAGATTAGTCAAATTTATCTCTAGATACAGGTTAATAATGCATACAGATACTTGGCATCGCCTGTAAACTCGAATGTAAGCAAATGTTTGCATTTTAGTTTATCAATATATTTCCTTGTTTTCCATCTCGATGTAAAGTAATATTTATTATATTTATTTCTATGTGCAGAATTATATAATAAAGGTCGGTCTGTTGCGAGGCCTACACATCTTCTTATCTATACGAAAAAATGGTAAAAGTATATTTTAGGGTACCCCTTGGCGATTTTTGGCGGTACATGGATACCAAGTTTGCGCCATTCTTTGACTTATTATTTTGTCTTCCATAACGCCAAAAATCGCCACTACACAAAGAAAAAAAAAGACAAAGAATTGCAAAACCTTGGTATCCATATACACATTGACCTACTTTCACTTAAAAAAAAATCCCCAAATTGTACAAAAATGGCATTGTGCACTCCCTTGACTTTATCCTTGTACACACCGACCTATTTTCACTTAAAAAAATCCACGAATTGTACAAAAATGGCATTGTGCACTCCCTTTATCCATGCACACATCGACCTATTTTCACTTAAAAAAAATCCAAGATTTGCACAAACTTGCATTGTGCACTCCATTCACTTTGTCTGTACACATTGATATATTTTCATTTAAAAAGTCAAAGCAGCACCACAGGCAAACAAAAAATACATAATCTCAATAAACTACATTTTAAACCAAACAATAAAATAACATAAAAAAGAAAAAACATGTTATACATATAAGCACTACAAAAAGCAAATATCCACTTACCCTATTTAGAAGTTCCTTCGTCTTTAGTCTATGGCACACAAAATTCCTTAGCAGCATCCAAAAGCTTCCTAAAATTATCTGAACTCGAATCCGTATATTGGCATCACCACATCTGAACCTTTCTTCCTACAAACCCATTCAAATCCATCTAAACGGTTTTTACGTTCTACTAGATGCATATCCTTCCTACATACATTACACTTATAATGGCTCCTATGTAAACCTTCATTTACACACCAATCAATTAACACTCTTTTCCCCCTTTTGTTCGAAATCGTACAGAAACTTCAAATTAATCTTACTACATTCAGCCATTCTACCGTCTAAACGATAAAACCAACACATACCACAAAAGCGCTTACAAAACATCCCATAATTCAAAATCATGCCCAGAATCATGCATCCGATTACGTCACAATAGGGTTTCCATAACATTCAACTACTCAGAGTACCATAAATGAAACAACTTGACAATAAATGATACAACAATTTGGTAATAAATGAAACAACAACTTTGCCATAATACAAGGGGTACCTTAAAGTCTTTTCATTATTGTAACAAAATTTTGCTTTCTTGCTTTGTCACAGCTGGATCTAGAATGAGTGACAGCTTGGTGATGTTCATGTGCTGCCGAATATGATACAGGTATTAAAGAAATATTTTTTTTCATTTTGATTGCTTTATAGCAGTTAGATCACACAAATTCACAAAGACGAATTAATATATGGACAGTAAAAATTACATAATACATTTTGTTATAAAGCATTTTTAGTACTTTGAATATTGTTAATATATACACTGTTTGGTCTACAAGATAAGCCATAGATGATTGTCTACCTACCTATAAAAATATGCATGCATTATTGAATAAGTGGTTTGGTGGTCCTTTCCAGGCTATATATTTTCTACAGCAGTGATGCCTAACTTTTGTTTTGTGTACTTCTTAATAAAATTATAAAGTACCCCTAATCTCTTCAGAAACTGCGCCCACTCGTTCCCTCTCCAGTATTCTTGTAATATACCTTACTGTTGTGTTATTTTATTATTATAAAATTAGTTGACTGCTATGTAAAAAGTCAATAAAATATAATCAACAGAAATTGATTATTACATTATATATTTCAAATAAACATAGTGACAACACTTTAAGCAAAAACATTAATTTTTTAATTTACTGTAATTATTTTAAATATTAGATTTTGTAAAAATGAAATGAGAAAATTAGTGAATTGACGAATTTATTGAATATTGTTAAAATGTAGGCTCATACTAAGAACCCTAAACATTCTTGAAGGTTAGATTATTTGAATATGGCAAAGCACGGGAGGGCTATCTGCCTGAGGGTAGAGATGCTTTCGTGGGTGACTTTTTAAGGGAAATTGGCTTGTATTCACATTACACAGTGGGAAAACTACAAAAAACAATCTTCCAGCCAGTTTGTTTGCCTAGGTTGAACTAACAGTATTCAGTGGTGTTAATCACTTGGTACCAGTGTGGCCTCTACACATTCTTGAAATAGTAGTACAGTGCAATAAAATATTCACCCTATAATAGTTTAAAGGGAATTTATATATATATGTATATTTATTCCAAACTTAAAAAAGCAAAAACAAAATTTGGTCTGTAAGAAAAAGTATTACTTTTTTTGTTATCTGTGTCCCGAATTGAGGTCCTTTGAGGTGGATTTTCAGTCTTGGGAATAGAAAAAAGCCATGTAGACTCAAGTCCGGGAGGGGGGAATAAGGGGGCAGAGAAGCTAAAGAAATGTTTTTACTTACCAAAAACTCAGAATTGAAAGTGCACTGTCATAATGCAGCACCCACACAGTTGATCTTGATTCTTGGTCTCACCGGCATGATACTTTTTTCTGTCTTTCAAGAACTTTTCATTAAAAGTGGTGGTTCACTGTTCGGCCTGGAGGAAATCAGCATCGAAAAAGCAAATCAGCATGCTTTCAAACTTTGACTTGCACATTATTAATTTTTTTGGTCTTTTTGAATTGGAAGTGTGCTTGCCATTCCTACTCAGCCATTTCGTTTCTGTGTCATAATGGAATGCACAAAACTTTTCACCAATAATGACGCATTACAGAAAATCAGAGTCATTTTCAATCTACTCCTAAAAATCAAGGAAGCTGTCTCTTTTGTTGTTCTTTTGCTTCTGTGAAAGGTTTTCAGAACAGTTTTTGCACAGATTTTCCTCATTCCCAGTTCATTTGTCAAAATCTGATCAATGGTGGTGTTTTAAATTCAGCATTTCTCCAGTTATTGACTACCAAATAATAATTATAATACACAAGATGGGACTATTTTAACAGTTCTTGCAGTTCCAGACCTTCTCCGGTGAGGTTCATCTTCAGTCGATTCATTTCCTTCTGAAAATGCCTTAAACCGCCTGAAAACCTGAGCCCTTGACAAAACATTGTCTCTAAAGGTTTTAAGCTTCACAAAAGTTTCTGTCACACTGTGTTAAAGTCTGAAGCAATATCTTAAAGCACTATGTTACTCAAAACTGATTTCACTTTTTTTAGAACACAGTAGGGAAAAAAAAAGTTTACTTACACACACACACACACACACACAAAAAAAAAAAAAAAAAAAAAAAAAAAAAAAAAAAAAAACCTACAGATGACTATGTAACTTGACGCAGTTCAAACATGTAACTGTATGTCCTTTGCATTGAATGTTCCCTCACTCTTCCCTCCACACAGAGGCCCACCAGTAGGCGAGTGGTAAAGTCTCTGAACACTGGTAGTTCGGGTCCGAGGTTCGAATCCCACGAACAGGCTGGCTGCATGGATGTTTTCATGGTTTTCCCCATCTGTAACGTGTATACGAGCCAGTTTCCCTTAGAAAGTCCTCCACGAAGGCATCCCTCCCCTTAGGCAGATAGCCCTAGTGTGCTTTGTTGTAATCTCAATAAACCAAACCAAACCATACAGGAAGTCCATATTATTGCCAAATCGATCTCCATGCTTCCAATCTAATTATTTTATTTTCACTCCTCATATATCCAACTTAAAATATATGCGTTAGGAGCTGGCATAAACTTTTATGTGTAATGAATTGGAAAATCGTCCTTGCATATGAAATTTTATGTTCATAATCCTTGAAGGATTAAAACAAATCTCCATACTCAAATTTGTTTAAATGCCACAATTGTAAAGAAAATGAACTGTGTAATTCTCTTGATAACACGCTCAATACTGAAAATGCATGTTGGCTGCTAATCATTTTATATGATATTAGCAACAGAGTGATAATATGATGCGTAAGGAATTGAACAAATATGATTGGTATGGCAGGGGCTATTTATAACATATTGCATTGTTTTATTCGCATTTCAGTCAGTTATTGTCATATCGGAAGCCTGGGCCATTATTTTCTCTTTTATTCAATAACAAAATTAAGTTTTCCAAATTGTTTGTCTTTCTTTCTTAGCATTTAATAACACTTTGTTGTTTTCTACTGTGACTGATATTTGTTTTGGAAGGGGGTGT